ATGTCTCTCTCTCTCAAAAAATCAATATATAAAAATTCGGAAAGTAAAAAATGAATAACTGATACAGACATCTGATAGTAAAGGAATTCTTCCCTTGTATCGCCAGCCTTCCCAATATAGTCAATCTTCTCATTTCCCACAACCTTTACTGTTTGCCTGCTTTAGACATGAATGAGGGAAACAAAATTGTTGACGACACTTCCAGAAAGGTATTTTCTTGGAATGTTTACTTACACACACACATGCTTTTTAATTAATAAACTAATTCCTGAGCAGTTTTCGGATTAGAGAAAAATTGAGCAGAAAGGACAGATTGCCCACGTGCCCCCTCACTCCCATTCATAGTATTAGTGTGGTATATTTGTTATAATTGATGAACCAGTATTGATACATTATTATCTAGACTCATAGTTTAAAGTTCATTCTTTGTGTCGTACATTCTATGGGTTTCAGCAGATGTGTAATAATACGATCCACCATTACAGCCTCATACAGAATAGTTTTACTGCTCTAAAAATCACCTGTGGTCCACCCATTCACCCACTGATCCCTTTCTGTCCCCAACTCCTGGCAACCACTGGTCCTTTTATTATTTCCATAGTTTTGCGGTGTCCGGAGTGTCATGTAGCTGGATTCATCCAATATGTAGCCAATTCAGATTGGCCTCTATTTTTATGTTTATATTATTGTATCTTTTTTAAATTAAAAAAATTTTTTTCAATTACAGTTGACATTCAATATTATATTAGTTTCAGATGACAGTACGGTTAGACATAGATGAAAGCAGATCAGGGAAAGCTAATTTAATGGAAATTCATGTGCAGAGATGATTATGAAATGTGGGGATATTAAATATTACTAGGTTAATAGTAACGATAATAACAGTTACTTTCTGAGTATCTATCATGTACATTGTACTCAGTGTTTGACTAATATTTCTCATTTCACACCAGCCAGCAAAGTTACTGTTGTTATCTCTATTTCACAGCTGACAAAATTGTGGCCCACACTGGGCTAAATAATCTAAAAGCACCAGCAAGTCAGCAGCAAGCAGGGTTAGAGCCCAGCCTGCCTGTGCCTGGGCCCTTGCTCCTTCCACTGGGCGTGCAGACTTTCTGTGGCTTGGACGTCCAAAGAGCACCAGCATGTAACCAAAGGGGCTTGTACACATGTGTTCATGCTCATTGTAATGTTATTATAATAAAAAAATCATTTCCATTATTATACATAAATTGCTAAGTAATCTATGTTACATCTTTACATTTACAAAGAATATAATACAGCAGTTAAAAAGAATAGTGTAGGTGATAGGTGCTAACCTAAAAAGTCCCCTCCCCATACTAGTGACAAATAACATTTACAGAATAATATTATGATTATGTTGCCAAGTTAATTTAAAAAATACAGAAAACAAGATGTAATGGAGTTTACCGGTATATTCTTATATAAAAATTCATTGAGCTGTACATTTAGAATTTGTGCAGTTGGCTGTATGCAAATTAAACCTAAATCTAAAAACAGATTATGTCCACATTTTCATGTATATATGAAGAGAAACCAATCTAGAACAATACACCCCTGATTTTTGGCAGTGGCTATCTTGAGGGAAGGGAGACCTCTGCTTTTCCTCTCCATGCTTCTTTATTGTTTAAACATAATAAAAGGAGAATGCATTAACTGGGCATCAAATATATAAATAAAAATGCAACATGTTTTTAAGTCAATATAACAACACCGATAAAGTAATCAATGAGTAAAATAAACAAAATTAACTGACAACAAATACACCTAGGAAGAAAAGAGATTGCTGAGGACTCATGTGAAGATACACCCACCTTCTCCACTGGGGAGAGTTTCATATGGAACATGTTTTCTCTGGAAAGAAGGGGGCATAAAGTCACTGGTTAACTTCTGTAAGGGGGTTTTCCTACTACCTTAATCACCACCCAGCCTGAGGGCTGCATGTGGAGGTGAGATATGAGCACCACAGCCGCCCTGCAAGATGCCCCACCCCAGGGAGCTGGAGCCCACAGGAGACTTGGCACTTGCTTGAAGGAGACGCCTCGGTCCTTCCCACACTCACAGTGGCATGGGGATGAGGCAGCTGCTGGAAATTAATATGCAGCACAGGCGTCCGTGGTGTGAATTAAAAAGCAACCGAATAATAAGACATTCAGATTTAAAGCATCACATAGCTTTTCCTACCAGACTGGTGAAGATTTGTTTAATGTCCCTGCACGGTGTCGGCATGGGGTGAGGGGGCAATGATGAGAGGTTGGTAGAAGCCAAGGAGGCCGAGATCTGCCAAACACATTAAGGAGCTTATCTCAGGAACCAGGGGGAGCCATCAGAGGCCTCAAGCTGCTGGATCACGTCTGCTGCTCCAAGGGGAACTCACTGAGAGGGAGCAGGCTGCATGTGGGTGGAGTAGCTAGAGGCTAGTGCAGTAAGTCAGGCAAAATAGTCTGGTGCCCTGAAACAGTGATAGCAGAGGGGAAGGAGGCAAGGGGGTGATTAGAGGGGTATTGAAGAGAGAGATCCAATGGGCCTTAATGATTAACACATGTATCCTGAAAGGGAGGCCAGGGTGGTGGTGGTGGTGCCTGTTTCAGTTAGGGTTCAATTAGGAAAGCTGAACCTTAAGAATTATGGAATATAGAATTCATTGTTGCAGTTAGACCTTGCATAGTTTGTAGGAGGAGCTGGGCAATTGGACATCAGGGGAGGGGAGCTGGAGGACCAGCGAAGTCCCCAACCAGTTAGTCTGAGAAGCCAAGGACGCCCAGCCACCAAAAGTAGGACCACAAAGGGGAGGCAGATGGAGAAGTCTAAAGGAAACATTTGCCTTGGTGGGTGCAAAGGCAGGCCTCTGCTGATGGATCTAGGGCTGCTGTTGGTCAACTGGGTTGGCAGTCAGGAGGAAGAGCTGAATGCAGAGCAGACGGAGCAAGAACCAGCTGCAACCCACCAGGCACCTCGGCATCTGTGGGTCATCTCACTGAGCTTTGATGGCATTCAGATGCAGTGCTCCCAAATGCCTTTCTTGGCCAACTCTAACCTGGAACCACACAGGGAAGGGTTCCTGAGAAATAGTTTCCAGCCTACCCAGGCTAATGGTTGGGGAAGATTCTGGAGCAAAGGTCATGAATTGCATTTTGCACATATTGACTTTGAGGCGACTGTGATTCATTCCCTTGGAGGTGTCCAGTAAGAGCTTGAGCTTGTCTAAATTTCTTCAGCGTGCAAGCAAGCTGGTTCAGGATCTAGTTCTAATCTAGCCTGGGGGGAGAGAGTGGAATGCAGCTGTAGATTAAGCACCTAAAGACTGAAGATATTGGCCAGGAGTGAAACAAAATGTCCAAAAAAGGTCTATAACTTTCATTGACTTGGAACAGCAAGGTGGATTGGGCAGTCTCTGCAGGGCAGGTGGGCGGGGGTGTCCTAGGGAGATGGCCTGAGACACCCTGAGGGATGTGTCAGTGGGAAGGCAGCTGGCTTGTATATTAAGAAGAGCCTCCTGGAATCACTATTTTGAAAGGACGACGACTTACAAGAAAGAAAGAAAAAATTTACTTGATAGTCACACCACTTATTTTGTTTTTACCTCATTCAGCAGGCATAAGGGAGTCTATTTCATGAATAATCCTTCTTTCAGAACTTTCAAGGAGTAGTTTGTTAATACAATTTGTGACCTGACTGCTTAACTCATAGAGTGAGCCTGACGGAGGTTCCAGGTGATGTAGTGGACATTCCACACAGAGAGGTGGCACCACCGAGTCAGTGGAACCCCCCAGGGCCATCGCCTCCACACCACCACCCTCCATGACCGCCACTGCCATCACCACCCGAGCTGGAGGAACAGGGGCTGGGGAAAGCTAGCAGAGGGAGGGCAAAGCAAGGTAACCATGTCAAAGGAACATGAAAATTCGGCTTGCAGGTAAGTGTCCTTCATTTTTACTGAGTAACAAATGTAACCAATGGACAATGATATTTGCACTAGTCTCTTTCCTCCACTTTCTTAGTAATCAAGTGAAACCGTGGCTCCCCGTTAGACTCTGGACATGACAGGATATCTTCCTGACTACCTTATACCAAATAGGGCTGCCATTCCTCTCTGCACCCTGAATCTGCTGTAGTTTTCACCATAGTACGCACCTCTGTCTGCTATTAAATGTTCACGGGCGCCCTTTATTGATTCTCTGTCTTTCGTATCAGAATAGGAGCTGCTTCTCAGTCTGTGCCTATTTTGTTCACTGCTGTATCCCCAGAAAATAAAATAGTACCTGGCATATTGTAGATGCTCAAGTATTTGTTGAATCAACGAATCACTGAGTGAGCATAGAAATGACACATTATATTCTAAGAACGGCTCCATGTGAGAGAGCTGTGTTATGGCTCTCCCCTATGTACTGAAAACTGAAGTTCTGATATAAAGGATGGAGCCGAGGTGAAAAAATAATATTAGGGTGTCTTACATATTGTTCCAACAGCTCATCAAGCCTCAGAAAAGCTGTATCCTTCACCTGCATATTACCAAATAATAGCAATTAAAATATGTAATATACATTTTGGTCAGAAGAGCTTAAAAGCTTTGCCAATGTCCATTCTCTCTTTCTACTTCTCTGACTTACCTTTCCTTCCATTTCCTACGCTGGGTCTTCCTCCTGCTGCTGCTAACTGGTATTTCCCTTGGATTTCCTTTGGACTCCTTCCCGGTTTCTCTCAACTGGGAGTTTTTCTAAATCTCATAAGGCAGATGCTTCTCAGGTCTCATAAGGTAGATGAAGGGTTAGGCCCCTGGTCGGGCACTGCCACGGGACTCTGTCCTGAGCTCCATCTGACCTGTTTAATCCTGTGTGTGAGCATATGGACAGGACAGCAAATTCCCCCCCTGTAGCTCCGAGGGCAGGACACAAGCCTTACCCGTCTGTGCGTCTTCCCCAACCACGCACAATCACCAATTGTGTGTGTTGGGGGGAATCACAGAAAGATGCATGAGAATGTTCATTCCCAGGCCTGTAAAAAATCACGGGGAACCAAAGCAAGTTGCAAAGATAAGGGTCTGCTGGAAAAGATCTTCGTGGCGTTGCTCCTGGCATGTAAATACCTTTCCTCCTGCTTGCAGAGTGTTCTGGAGAGCAAGGAAATGGAAAACGAGGAAAATAGGACTGGATTCCGAAGAGGACGTCCCAGTTTTATGGAAAAGAAAGCACTTTAGGAAGAAGACGAAGGAGGGACAAAGAGACTCTGGAGGCTCTCAAGGGCAGCAGATCTGTAGCCAAGGCATCACATTTCCCTGCTCCCTGTGCAAGCAGGAAGTTGACCTGCCTGGGATTTTCCTGCACAGAAAGCAGCACCTAGCTCTGCACACACTGGGCCTCAAGTGGGCGAGTGGAACTAAAGGCGCGCGCTCCGTGATTGCGGCCCAGAGACAGTCGATAATTAGTAAGCTGTTGTCATCTTTGACATTTACTGAAAAAGTCCTACAGAACACGAATAACGCTTTCGAACTACTTTGGAAGAAACAAATGCCAGCATACTATAAGATTACTGACAACGTTCAGTGCAGCTCCACCCATTCGCCCCCAATCTGCCACGTGTTAGTTAAAGCGGTGGCCGTTTGTGACGACAGGAACTCTACGTGGAAGCTGGATATGAACGACCGGTTCACCGTAGTGAGTGACTTCGGCAATAAGCCCAACGTGTGCTTCTTCGGTTTGTTCGACGGGCACCACGGCGCCTCGGCAGCGGACTTCGCGTCCGCGGAACTCCCAGTGCTGCTTCTCCACCAGCTTTCCAGGTTTGACCCTTCCTACCAGATGACCCCCGAGGAGCAGACGTTAATCAGTTCCTTCTCCACGGTGTTTAGAGAAGAATACACAGCTGCAGAAAACCTGTTCTCGTTAAAGAAACAAACGCAAGAGCCGGGGCACGAGCGTGAGAACCTGCACAAAGCCTTTGCCAATGCGTTTTGGAGAATGGATAGGCTTTTACGTCTGGGAAGGAATGAGGTGTCCAGGGTTCGATGGAGTGGCTGTTCTGCAGTTACCTGTCTACTGGAAGGCAAAATTAAGAGGCCCCCTGCCAAGAGGAATCAGAGAATTGATGATAATGCTGGTTGGGAAGAGAGGTTCCCTTCCCAGAGGATGCCACAGATACTTTCTGGAGAACTGCATATTGCAAACACTGGTAGGTGTGCTGAATGGCTCCAGGTTACATCTTAACATTTTTTATTCCTGACAGCAAAACCTCGCATGCTTCCAGAATTATTTAGTGACTTATTAATGCCAAAAAATGGCACTAGCCAATTTAAGAAACGACTAATAACCAGTTTAAATGCAGATTGCAGGCACACAAATAACTGTAATTATTTTCCAAGGAGGCACGTATATGAAATAATGTAACCGAAACCTTAAATTTTCTAAGTGGGTAGCAATACAGCTGTTAGTAAAGGCAAAGCAAATACATTACATTTGTTTAGATCTGAATGAAACAAAAAAATGTTTCTCACACTTCTCTTTTTCAAAATGGAAAACTCTTTGAATAGTGTTAATGTAATTGTTCAGCCGGTCCATTTGTTGGTTATTTGGATAATTAATACATTTGCAATAGGCCACTCTGTGCTTGCTGGCCAAGTAGCATCAATTTCATCTTAGAGAAAACAATCGTTTATGCCTCAATTTTATGGTCATGTTTTCTCAAATATTTAGTGTACTCTTTTAATTTTATTTCAGGAAGCTATTCTTTTGACCTTCAGGGCTCAAGTTCAGCTTAGGAGCTTGCCAAAATGAAAACCCAGGAGTACAATAGTTTTAACAAAGTGAACCTGAGTTACATGACGAGTTTCATGAGATGTTTAACTAGGGTTCTAGCTCTGGTTCTGAGCCCAAAATGAGAACTCCAGATTAAGCAATACCTAGAGCCAAGGGCAATGCCAATTTCCTCCAAGTCATTGTCATTTCTCAGGCTCTACACTGAGGTCCCAAAGCTCTTCAGAGCAGGCCTACTTCATCGGGTGGAGAGTTTTCAGATTTCAGACCCCATCTGGGAACTGTCCCATATTCCTGGGCTTGAGACCTTTATTGGAAATATTATTAGATATTAGGGTTCTTGTAAAATTAAAGGAGAAATTACGAGATAGTCAAGTAGATAAGATCATTAAATGTCTAGTTTACTTCATGATTCACTATTTCGAGGCTCACTGCTGTTTGGTTTGTTCTAATCTCCAGGTTGAACATTTTGAGGCTTGTATAATTGTGTTACACTCTTTTATTTAGGCATCCTTTATTTTAACAGAAACGAAAATATAGGGAAAAATATTCAACTTGTGACAAGGAGGTTATGACTTATGCTACAAAAGTGTTCCTAAAAAGAAATAATTTAAGCGAGCTATAAAAAAAATAAATGTTCATACAAATTTATCAAAAACATAATTATTTTATAAAACGAGGCCTATAATTATAGCAAGGGAATTCATTTACCTTGTTTGAAATTTATAAAATACCAGTGTCATCACAACTCTGGAATTATAATGAAACATGAGGGCAATGATGAGGCCATTAAATAAGTGATTGCATGCATGTGAAAAAAGATACTTCCTAAATGACATTCCTGATTTGTTCTTAGCACTTCTCATTTATATTGCATTGTATAATTTTTCTTGGTGCTCTTTAATTACTTTATTAATTGTAGGATTATGAGGAATTTCAAGATAAGCTTGTCAATTTCTCAAAAATATTTGATATTTTGATAAAGACTGTTGATTCTGCAGACCAATTTGAGTATTGTTATTTTAACAATATAGTATATATAACATTTTTTTGTTTAAGCAGTTTTTTTAAAAATAGATTTCAGTAAGACAAATCGATATGCCTGGTGTCCCAAAAAATGTACACATACTTTGAATAATTTTAAAGGCAGTGTTTATTAAAATACATTTCATTTTCAAAATGTAATAGCACCAGCTGTTAAAATGTATATACAATTTTTGGGGGACACCCTGTATTTACCCATGTAGTTATTCCCAATGCTCTTTATTCATTTTTGTAGATGTACATCTGTCTGGTATTATATTCCTTCTGCTTGAAAAACTTATTCTAATAGTTTTTTTAATGTGTCTTCTGGTGATAAATTCTTAAGACTCTACACTTTTGTTTTTCAAAGTTGTGTCTATTTGGTATAGAATTCTAGATTGACAGATTTTTTTCTTTTTAGTGTGTTAAAAATATTGTTCCACTGTCTTCTGGCCTGTATCTTCCCCCCTTTGTTCTTGCTGTGAAGGCATTTTTTATTTTATTTTATTTTTTTCTGTGTCTGAGTTTTTTGGTTTTTTTTTTGCTTAATACTTTCATCTTTTTCACCCAGATCCCCAACCTCACTCCTGACATCTGTCAGTCTGTTCTCTGTGATTGTTTCTATTTTTAGTTTATTAGATTCCACATATAAACAAAATCATATGGTACTTGTCTTTCTCTGACTGGGTTATTTCACTTAGCATAACACTCTCCAGGTCCCTGATCCATACTGTCACAAAGGGTAAGAGTTCCTTCTTTACAGCTGCATAGTATTCCTTTGTGTAAATGCCCCACAGCTTTTTTATCCACTCATCTACTGACGGGCACTTGGGCTGTTTCAAAATCTTGTCTATTGTAAATAACCCTGCAATGAACACAGGGGTGCATACAGTCTTTCAAATTAGTGTTTCCGGTTTCTTCTGGTATATTCCCAGAAGTGGAATTGCTGGGTCTTTCTGGCTTGCATTGTTTATGATGAGAAATCTGCTATTATCACTATTCCTGTCTATAATATGCACATCCCACCTCCCCATCCCCCAATGGTTTAAAAGTTTTATCATTGGTTTTAAACAAAATTGGTTGTGATGTACCTCAATTTTTTTTTCTCCTCAGCTTTCTCCTATCCCTAAGGAATTTCAATTATGTACCTTAGGACAATTGAAATTGTCCAAAATCTCCATAATGCTTTCCATTTTTAAAAACTTTCCTTTCTCTATGCTGTTTTAAAGTTTTTATTGCCATCTTCAAAATCACTAATTTTTTCTTCTGCAGTGTTTAATTTGCCATTAATCACATTTTTTCATCTTTTAACACTATTTTTTTAAAAATTTTATTTATTTAAGCCTCACCCAAGGACATGTTTTCTATTGATTTTAGAGAGAGGAAGAGAAGCACCGATACGAGAGAAACATTGATTGGCTGCCTCCCCTATGTGCCCCAAGTGGAGATGGAACCTGCTTTTTGGGTATGTGCCCTGACCTTTCAGTGTATGGGTCAATACTCCAACCAACTGAGCCACACCAGCCAGGACTAACATATTTTTTACCTTTAGAAGTTTGCATTTTAAAAATTATCTTCTGTGTCTGTACTTAACTTTTTAAACATATGGTGTGCAGTTATAACTTTTAATGTTCTTGCCTACTAATCCCAACATCTGTGTCAATTCTTAGTTTCAATTGACTTCCCCTCCCCCCCCCATTTTATTGCGGATAGTAAATACCCTGCTTGTTCGCATGCCTGATGCTCTATTTTCGTAGGACTGCCATACAAATTACCACAAACTTGGCGGCTTAAAACAACAAAAATCATTCTCTCACAGTTCTGGAGTCCAGCAACCTAAAATTAAGGTGTTGGCAAGGCCATGCTTCCTCTGAAGCCTCTAAGGAAAAATGCTTGCCTCTTTCAGCTTCTAGTGCCTCCAGGCACTTCTTGGCCCCTGGCTGCAAATTCTAATTTCTGCCTCCATTGTCACATGGCTTTTTACTCTTCTGTGTGTCTCTTGTTTCTTATAAAAATACTGTTCTTTGGATTTAGGACCAACTTGGTGGTGGAGTCACATACATGCAAACTTGATTCTGAGAGAACATTCAACAAATACTTAACAGATAGTTGACTGATGTGTAAAGTATCATTTGGCTCCAGCTGTATGATTGTGAACATGGGTTTCATGCATGTACATGTTACATAACGAACAAAGGGATCTGTTGAACATCCAGGGAAAGTTAGCTCCACGTCAGTGAGGCTCTCATGCCTTCTGTAGGAAGTCAAGCCTGATGTCCACGCACGTAAGTTCAGCCTCTTTTGCCAAAATTAGCATCCTGAAGAAAAACCGGATTATGGGTTGTTTTCCTAACGTCATTTACATGCGTTTGTTGTGCTTCCATTTTTGGTATGCTTCATGCGTGTTTAAATTTTCTTTGCTTATGCTATTTTTTTATTGCTTCTTTGCCTGTTTTCCCTCCATGGAATACGAAGGAAAACCATCAATTGTCTAGTTATTAAAGTACCTTCTTAAATTCTCACAATAACCTTGACAAAAGACACTGCAGGTACAAAACTCAGTCAGGTGGTGACGTCATGCAGGTTACACAGGCACAAAGTAGGGACTCAAGTTCAAGCGCGCCAGGCTCCCGGCTTCCTGCGGCCCGCACTTCCTTCTAAGCGCCGCCCTCCAGTAAGCCTGTTCCTCCTGCTGCTGTCCTCTGCACAGTGCTCTCCAGTTCCTGAGAGTCGCTGACGCTGCGTCCAGGAATTTGAGTTCTTAGGGCCAGGTCCATCAGCCTCCTGCGATCGGGCCCTCGCATTCACTGGGCAGCTCACCCCCCAGCCGTCGCAGGCCCTTCCTGGGCAGCTGCTCTCTTCTCCCGCCCACCCTGTAGCGACCCGCTCTCTCCCGTTTTGCAGGCACACGGGTCCACCGCGCTCTTCCTCAGTCTTCCCCATTTCCCACTATTCTTTCAGCTAACGCCAGCTGCCTTCAACAACCCCACTTGCAGCTGGCAGCACATGCCGCCCGAGGTCCGGGAGTAGACGATGAACCGCACGCCCCACTCTCATCTGTCCCAGGAACACTTCCAGGGCCGACACCTTCCTCATCCCTCTGCTTCCTGGCTGCCCGTGGACAGGCGACAGCGGAGCAATCCCAGGCACTCCCTTCTTCCCCTTCCCTTCCCGCACCCCTCACGCGGTAAGGGAGCGAGTTATTCAGGAGGCACTATTTCCCTTCCTATCAGGACGAATAATTTGCCAAAGAAAATAACTCACCCGGAGTCAGACAGCAGGTCAACGGTAGTGCAGAACCTGCAACCAGGAAGGACTTAATGTCCCTTCCCCTAGAAGATAGTAACACGAGAGCAAAACGGCCAGAACGGCCTTTCCCCCCTGCAGCACAGGAATTAACAAAGACGAGCAGTGCTAGGCGATGTCACCAAGCTCTCTGAAGAGGCAACTGGAATCGAAATACCAGTTTACCACCCTTCCCTTGTTAAATACATAATTGTATTAAATTCTTTTCAATTCACAAAGTACAGAAACAAAGCTTTTTCCTTTTGCCGAATGGGCTTTGACTTGTGACACAGAAATAAACATTTGGGAAGTCAGTGCATTTGACTATTCTGAGCCAAAGTATGTACTGTTTTCAGAGCTATGGGTGCACTATTTATGTGGACGTACACACGTAAAGAAACTTAATTTAAAAGAGGTATTCACTATGTCCTCATAGAAAAATTCAGTTTACCCAGTTGGTCTGTTCAATATCATTCCATGCTGCTCTGCTGGTACAGTAATAATTTTTTTAAAAAAACTGTCCATATCTATCTGTTAGGATTCCCCAGGTCATCAAAGGCAGTTTATTTTAGGAAGGCATGGTGACAATTAGAGCAGTACTACAGCCAAATTTGTGTGCTACTTTCCCAGTACAGTAATAATTTACAATTAGCAAAAATCAAGAATTACTTTACTGACTTACCCTCTGCAGAGCCTAAGCAAAATAATCACCAGCAAAGACATGTTAATATTAATAAACTGCACTATAAAAAAAGGGAGGCATGCAATTATTAGGGTTATCATTTTTACAGTTCTTAGGTTTCCAAAACATTTCCCATATACATCTTCATCTTTCGGTCCCATTCATTAGGTCAGTGTTTTCACAATTATCATTATGTAAATGAGCCAATAGGCTTAGTCTATGCCTATTGATACTAATCCTTCACTAACTTATGCTCTTTCTGTCCAATAATACTAGATTGTGGACCTCAGTCTGCTGAAACTTAAATTCCTTTTACTTAAAAAATTGGGGCATTTCCTGGCCAGTGTGGCTCAGTTGGTTGGAGTGATGTCCTGTACATCCAGGGGTCACAGGTTTGATTCCCAATCAGGGCACAAACCCAGGATGCAGGCTTGATCCCCGATTGGGGTGCATAGTGGAGGCAACTGATTGATGTTTCTCACACTCTCCTTTCCTCTCTCTAAAATCAACTAAAAACATATCCTCGGGTGAGGATTTAAAAAATAAAACTGGGAGATTAGACTTGAACACCTACAGCAACAAAATTCTGATTTCAGCACCATGTCTGAAACCAGAATATTCTATTGTAAATTTTCACTCAACAGTATAATATTCAAACATCATTAATCCTACCTCAGAATTTAAATATTCGTTTATAAATGATTCCATATCAAGAAAAACTATTGCCTATGCTTGAATACACAATTATGTTCCTAAAAACTTGGGAAGAATCAATTTTCCTAACAAATAGTTCTATAAACCAAAGAAGTATTGGTAATACAACCATCCCTCAATCTATTCAGAGTATTGTTTATTTTCTTAAGATTTCAATGATGCACATGCTAACAGGTTCATCTGACTCATGAACAAACTATAATCAACTTTTAAGATTTCAGTTTACAATCAAAGGGTTTAATTTCATGTTTGCTATTATCCATTTAATACATTAATAATACATAGGGCTAAGTGACTTTCTTTTTAGCCAGACACATCAGGAAGCTAACAAGACTGACACTAACAGGCATATTCTAATTTTTTTCATCACCCATACCCATCTGTATGTTGTTGCTGTTTTATTTATTGATTTCAGAGAGGAAGGGAGATTGGGATGGAGAGAGAGAAATATCAATGATGAGAGAGTCATTAATCGGCTGCCTCCTGCACGCCCCGTTCTGGGGATGGAGCTCACAATCCAGGCATGTGCCCTGATGGGCAATCAAACCGTGACCTCCTGGTTCATGGGTCAATGCTCAACCACTGAGCCATGCTGGCTGGGCTGTATATTCAGTTTTTAACATTACCAGTCACAAAATCATCAAATTCCACTTAAAAAAATATCAAAGTTTATGTTTTTAAACGAAAAGGCATTTATTTAAACATTTAAAAATGTCTGCTCTATGGAATATATGTTGGTTATAAAAAAGTTCAACTTTTGGCTCTACAAAATAAGTAACAAACATTTGGAAGCGGTTTCATAAAACATTTGATTTTTCAGTATCTGTAATTTTAGTTATTTTAATACTAAATGTAGTATTTTAAACACTAAATTGCTTTAAAATGAGGAACTGGCCTCTCATTTTGAAATTTGAAATCATGCAATGATACCAATATTACATATATTTAAAAAATACTTTCAAATGGCCTGCTTTGTTTATGCATTGAAACAGAATTATTAAAGTTAGCCGCATACTTTCATACAATTGGTTATTAAGTCTCTAGGATCAACTTTTTCCAATCATCTTTTAGGTAATGTGCAAGCAGTCTTATGCAGAAATGGGAAAGGCTTTTACTTAACCAAAGACCACACTGTGAGAAACGTACATGAAAGAAGAAGAGTACTTCAGAATGGAGCAGTAATTAGTTCACATGAACCACATGGGCTCCTAGAAGGGCATATAAGAACCACAAGAGGACTTGGATTTCATGGAAATCCCAAACTGAAACAATTCATTATTCCAGCACCTCAAACTATTTCTGTCTCTATAGATGACTTATGTCAATTCCTTATCTTAGCTACTAATGGACTCTGGGAAGTTCTGGATAAAAAGGAAGTCACTGCATTGACAATAACAATGTTTCAAGTGTATAAAGACATATACTGTTCTACCATCTGCAAAATATTCTCATCATCCAAAGATCTGCTTTTCCCATTCAATGATTCAAAAAGTACTATCCACACATTGTTTCAGCGTGGATCTGAAGAATGGGAGCCAACTACAAATTCAAAAGAAAATTTGTCTGATTCAAAATATTCTAAATCTTTCACTCGTGACCCTAAAACATTTCTACCAGGAATGACTAACTGTGATTCTTGCAGTAAGAAAAAAACTGACAGACCAACCCATGTAGATGGTGTGCCAAAAGATTCAAGTGAAAAAGAAAAAATATGCACCAAGGGTTTCTATGAAGCTGCAGCTGAGTATATCAGCCATGAACTTGTAAATGCTGCTTTAGTGGCTGGCTCCAGAGACAACATTACAGTTATGGTAATACTTCTCAATGGAAGTAAGTATCAGTTTCTGAGATAAAAAAAGTTCTGATTATCCAGAATACAAAAATATAAAGACAACTCTTCAACGAACCAGATATTAGGATAATACATCAATACCACACAAATAATTTTTAAGAATATAGAAAAGAAAATGGAAAAGGAGATTTTGAGTTACATAATACCATTTATATATGTTCACTGTTCCATGCCAAAAAAAGAGAAAAACCAGTACTTGCTTTTTATACCACTTTATTCCAACCTGAGCACCTCAATATAAAACTAAACACTGATGAACTGTTTCCTTGCTAATTCTGAATTACTGTAAATGTACAAGTTCGGCTATCAGTTCAACACTTAAATAGATTAAATCATCTCTGACACATGGTAGAGTTCATATAATGAAAATACCTAAAACAATTAGTGCAATATACTGAACTGATCGAAATAAAAGAAACTTTGGAAAACAAGGCTGCAAGATTGTTACTAACATATCGCAATACCTATGCTACAAGTTACCGTACATTGTTTATTATGGTTCTAGCCATGTAGGAACTGAAGCCCCTTCTGCTGAAAGGGGGAAAGAAGAAAAAATTAGCTGTTTTAGTAACTGTACATTTTGTATACTTTTAAGCAACTCTTAAATATTACAGAAAATAAACAAATGAAGACTACAATGCAGTACCCTATTTACAGTACAGCTGAAGATCGAATTTAAAATAATCAAGTTTGAATGTACATAATTGTTAGTGCATTGACTATATTATGTCCAAAGGGAACAAAAGCCCCCTCCATGCCCCTAAACAAAACCAATATAATGGCTCGCAGTGATTAAACAGAAATCACAGACACCTGGTTTGTTTCACTTTTGTTGAAGAGCTCACATGTTTGAAGGGAACACTACCCATTAAGACCCATTTACCAGTTTTTATATTCCTAAAACAAGATGGGGTTACATTTGATTTTTTTTATCCCATTAAAAAAATAACAGGACTGGCTATAATTTAGATGCCACTAATGTTCATCCCCCCCTCCCCCAAAATATGGGACTGTTTTCTGCTAAAATGTGGAATGTACACTTTAAATATGGATACTAAGAGAAATTATCAGTTGCCTAAATACTATAGCTAAGCATAAATATCTTTAGAACCTTCTTCTAAAAAAAAGAATGTTTCTGAAAGGCTCAAATTAAGTTCAAAATCTTTTTCTTAGAACTGGCTGGTTAACTGTGGGTTTAGATAGTCATTTGTCTATATCCCTGGTGATGAGAAATGATTCCCCCTAACCATCCAAGGAAACAAGTATACACAGCTCTCGTTTCCGCCTTCTACTGCTGAAACATTAGTCAGAGGGTCACATGCATGTTATTAAAAATTAAGTTCAAAACACTTAAAATAATTCTGTATTAGAAACTTGACTCTATCGTAAGTCTCTTCTTTTTGGAAGTCGTACTGAGCTGGTTAAATGCTCCAATTCCACGGTTATTAACATTTAGGAAGCAGAAGACTATTCCAGCTAGTTCAAACTGGAATTTTAGTTACTACAACACTGACTCCTGGTTGGCTGTGTGGGTTCAGTAAGGTCTACTCCTCTTCCCCTGGCAGAATTTGCTCCTGGATTCTGTGGTTCATTCTTTGGCAACTTTTTAGCTGAGAGATAAAGTATTAAAATAAAATAAACACAATTAGAATATTCATATTAAAATACTTTCATCTGCTTACTTATAATCTTCCTTTCCAGTTAGGTTATCCCAAAATATCCATAACCATATGTCCATTCTTATCAAATGTTTCTTGAGTATCCACTAAATATCAAAACATTGGTCACTGTCCTGAGGGAGTTTAGTGAGTTGATGGAAGGGTAAAATGGGGACCAGTTGCTAACACACAATTAAAACTTGACTAGAGCAATATTAAATTCTTTAAAAAAAAATGTTTTTATTGATTTCAGAGAGAGGAAGGGAGAGACACATCAATGATGAGAGTCATTGATTGGCAGCCTCCTGCATGCTCCCCCTACTGGGGATCGTGCCTGCAACCCGGGCACCTGCCCTGACTGGGAATCAAACCTGAATCTCCTGGTTCATAGGCTGATGCTCACCCACTGAGCCACGCCGGCCGGGCTATATGAAATTCCTTATGTAGATTCACTTAACAATACCAGAAAAGTTGTACTTTATTTCATAATCATTAACACTTCTATTACTTAAAGAAAATCTAAGTTAAAAATGATGGCCAGCCCATGTTTACAAAGAAGCTCAGCTTCTACCAGTGTTCTCTGGACTGTCGCAAACACATTCTGGAACAAGTTGATATATAAACAAATACCATCACCATCACCCCAGCAGAGCTTGTCTTCTGCTGTGCAACCTAATTATTACCAAATTGTGACAGATCACATCGCCTATTTTCTTCCTGGCTAACACAGATTTTGCTCTTTAAATGTCTACCATTTTCCTCTCTTGTGACTAAGAACACTAATCTGATTTACCAGTAACTCTACCTAATGTAAGTGAGATTGTTCCTGTGGCTCTCTCAAAAAACTGTTTCCCAATTTTGAGTCAGATGACCATGGCTTGCCCCATTTGAACAAAGCCCCTGAACCAGCAGTTATGGCTTTAGGTCTGCTAAGCTTGGTACAACTAATGCTGTTCTCTGGAGCACAGCTCCTACTGATCAGATGTCATCTGCTTGGATTCTGAAGAACCTTGATGTGCTGGATTTATTAAATATTAAACATCTCTAAGAGTACAGACTGCAAGAGTGGCTAGATACACTGGTCATAATCTTGGGAGTAGACTACTATGGTAAGACTCTAATTTAATCTTAGCCTTTGCTAAGTTTACACAAAGGTTAATCATGCTCTACTTCAAAACCTGAATGCCTGATTGTTTCAGATCTTCTAGCCTTTATTTTTTGTAATATTCCACATGAGCATTAATAATATTTAGAATTCTAGATGCTGAGCTGGGCGATGGATCTGGGAGCCAGGAGCAACAAGGTTTTGGAAGAAAAGCCATCACCTTGGGACACTTCTCTAGGAACTGTTCTGTAGTTGGCAGTGTAAATGGTAATAAAATGTAAATATCCAGTCGGCTGTATTCACAAAGCCTCATAGGACAAAGAGTTATAATTAATACTAAGTTTTACCAAGTTTGGATTGAGTGACCATTTCTCATGTTAGCATAGTTCTCCAAGGGCTTCCTGTAATTAGGTATGAGTGAAATCACGAGGCTGAAGGAAATAAACTGGTTCTATTGGTTATTTTTACTGTGATGATAAACTAAAACACATTTTTGGGATCTCAAAAGAAGCTGTCTCCTGTCATAAACTCTCCCACAAAATAAGTGTACTCCCTTTGGGAAGTCATCAAAAGTAAAAATATGAGTGCAATGTGTGATTCGTTTAAGTTATAATCTGGTGAAAGAAATGGCCTTTCCATTTCTTTCAAGGAAAGAAACATTCTAATTTCAGAAAAATAATTTAAAGTTCTAGTATATAGGTTACTTTCTGACGGGAAAAATGATCTTATTAGCACATCTGAATAAAAAACACAAATTAATACAGCCCATCTGGTAGTCTTAATACCATGAGAAAGCTTTAAAGTTCAGCCTGACTTGAGGGACCTATTATTGGTTCCTTTTAACTTTTCAGATGCGGTTCTAGGTGTCATCTGTCCCATTTATAAAAGGAGCAAACATAGTGCCACACAATCCTTCACAACTGTGCTAGCATTTCCTTAGTAACTACAAGCTTGAGTTTCTCAGGAAAATATTTTACACAACAAACAGGCAAGTTTTTTCCTAAATGAGCCACCATTAAACTCTCTCACCTAGTGAAAGTTATTATGACAGTACTTGCAACTTTCACTGAGTTTTAAGCTCTTAATTGGTTAATTTGTATGACTTCAATATAAAAGAATATTTCTTATTTGGGGATAGGAATGTGGACACCCAGTTAATAATCACTGCTATTTAATAAAAGACATTATGGAACAAGAAGAATGCTTGTACATGAATAGAGTGGAGGCAGAAAACTGTGAGAGCCACCTAAGTAGACCCTTCACATAGAACCTGTACCTTAAAACTAATGGAAGGTTAGATGTTTCTCTCTCTCTCTCTCTCCCCCTTCTCTGTTCCTCTCCAAAAACCAATAAAAATATTTTAAAAATAAAGAAAGAAGCCCAGCCAGTATAGCTCAGCGGTTGAGCATCGAACTATGATCTAGGAGATAAGAGGTTTGATTCCTGGTCAGGGCACATGCCCGTGTTGTGGGCTCGATCCCCAGTGGGGGGTGTGCAGGAGGCAGCCAATCAATGACACTCTCTCATCATTGATGTTTCTCTCCCTCCCTCCCTCTCTCTAAAATCAATAAAAACATATAAAAAGAAATAGAGTAGTCAAACTAAAAATGCACCAGTGTAACCTGTTTTGCCAATACTTATAGTTTGGGAAAAAAAAAGTTAATCTTACCTATTGCCATGAATATTTCATTTACATTCATTGATGTTTTAGCTGATGTCTCCATGAATAATAAACTGTTGTCATCTGCATATGACTGTGCTTCCTGTTTATAGAACAAAATAATAAGATATATCCTTTGCATATACTATACCTGAATTATTTTTGTTATTAAAAAAAGAGGCTTCCAAACTGACGAGCAGAATAGATTCAATGACATGGAAGCATAGTTGAGACTGACGAAATGTCAGAGGGAAGGGGGAGAGGGGGAGAGAGTAACCAAAGAATTTATATGCATATATGCACAACCCAAGGACACGGACAATGGTGGGGAGAGGGACTGGGAAGGGGGAAGGAAGGGGGGGGAAAGGGTCATTGGGGAGAAAAAGGGACATCTGTAATACTTTAAACAAAAATAAAAATTATAAAAATAGATAAATAAATAAATAAAGAGGCGTTCTTATTACTACTCCAACTTAATTACCTATAACCAACAATTATTAGTAAAGGTAAAGCAAATATAAAGGCATTGTGTAATTTTCTTTTTGCCTTAGCTTCTTGCACTATCCCAGCCTGATTAA